CATTTATAATAGAGAGCTCATTCCCTTATTTTAAAATTCAGCATGCCCTCTCCACCATCTTTCTCCATTTGCTTGACTAGAGTGTTGTGGAAAAATGAAACCTGTCCATGAAGATGACACATATATTTTCTTGGTAATATCTTCGATGCTATGGTTCCTTCCCCTGATTTTTGCCTTATCTCTGCCTCCCATTGATTCCAACTTTAATCCTTGGTAGAATTGTTGGCTTACTTTTTGTATAAAATGTCATCAAGTATGGTCTTGACTTGCTGCTACCTAATAGACACTTGTCATAGGCTACTGATTCATTAGTATATTTATAGAGATCTGGTCACCTGTGATTTAGTAGGCTTAAGAGACAACCTGATTCCCAACCAGTAAACAGATACAAACCTCTCCATGACGGATGATAGATTAAGATGTGGATGCTATTATTATTTAATAGTAAAGCCTCTGAGTGGACTGTAGCCTCTGTATCACCTGGGGAAACGATCCTTGCTGTCAAATAGGATCCATTCTACTGTAGACAACCTTAGTTGAACACACTGCCAGTGAGACAGAGAGAGAGAGCGAGAGACAGACAACAGACAGACAGACTGGGGTATGTCTTCTCTCTTAGCCTTGATAAATTTACATTCATTGAAGAATAGGGCTGAAGAAATCCCAGGGAATTTCTGTGTAGATGCTAAGGAAGCAGAGCAGCTGGTTGACCTCAGGTTTGTATCTTGATCTAACTAGGACTATTTGTATGATGCATAGATAGTTTACATTGTGATTTGAGGAACAGTGGAAAAGTACCCGTATAATTCCTAAATAGATGTGACATGACTGCCACAGAGCCTGGAATTCTGCCCTTGGAACTATTCCTTTGGGTTTAAGCAGTAGCCAGTAATTACCCATTAAGGGAGAGGGAAGGCCACAATCTAGGGGTGTGGAGAATAACTGTTGTTGCCATCCAGTAATGACTGATGGAAGAAGTCATATGCTGTGTGTTGGGATGGAAAAAGATTGAAATCCATTGTACTAAGACATTATCTTCTCCAGGATTCACTTGAGAATATACAAAAAACTCATTGTAGACAACAGCTATACTGAGAGGCAGTTATATAGAAAGGGTTAGCCCACAGACTGTAGCCAGACTCCCATGGGTCCAAATCTTGAATCTGCCCATACTGCCTATATAACTTTTGGAAAGTTATTAACTTCGCTATGCTTCAGACTTCTTAGCTGTAAAATGAGGATAACAATTATATGTAGTTCATAGGGTTATTGTGAGGATTAAATGAGCTAATATACCAAAAAACACTTAGAACACAGTCTTGCACTTTGCAAGGACTACAGAAGTCTTCACAATTATTAATAATACTTTTTAGGGTAAATTTGTTTTTCTCAAATTGCTCTTTTCTTTTTTTAAATCATATTGCTCTTTTCTAAGGCAGTTTGGCATTGACTGTAGTGTATCCATGGCATTTTGATGAGCCAAAAAGGAAAGAATGGTTTTGAGCCTTATATACTGCCCTCCTATCCCCCCTCCATCTCTGCTGCCCTCATGTGGCCAGTCTGGGTGGGCCTCTTCAGTAGGGAGCTCCTGACAGCCTGTGGTCACATGGTCCATAGGGAGAGCTTCATGAGGGGAAGAGAGAGAGGAGAAAATGCTTGTTTTTTGTTAACCATTTTGCCAAGGTCTCTAGCCAAAATCTTTCCTCTCCTTTGTGTTCCCTTCTGGATAACGTAGATTATGTTTCTCATAAGTGGTTGGGGATGACCTAGTGCTAGTGACTTTATGAGTATTATTTGCACAGGGAACTGGCACTTTAGAGACAGACAGATCAGGGTTCAAGTCCTGTCTGTGCCGCCTACTACCTCTGTGACTTCTGGTAAATCACTTAATGTCTTGGAGCTGCATTTACTCAATTACAAAATGGGCATACTAAAATGTGCCTGCTTCCCAGCATGGTGGCGCTAATCAAATGTGATGATTTGTGTGACAGCATCTTGTAAACTGTAAACAGTGACATAGATAGGAGTTGTTATTATTAGTGGTTCTGTTAGTTTTCCTTGCTCTCTGTGAGCAGACCTGGATTTTAGCAGCACCTGTGTGCTGTCATCACTTAGCTGATGATTTTATTTGAGGGCTTTACTCAAAAGCCAGCAATCGGCAGTTGTACGCTGGCTTCCCTGGCAGTGGAGATGGTGTATTGTATGCCCGTTGCTAGACTATTCCAGGGTACCAGGGCTGAAGCTCATAAGACAAGGGAGCCTGACAGTTTTCAGAAGGGGTTATTCTCTCTCCTTCCATTTGTAAATCACACAATATGGATAGGAAACTTGTTGGAATTGTGAGCTGCTGTTGGTGATACTGTTACTCTGATAGTCGATAAAAACACCTTCAGAAACCAAGAGAATCAGGTTGGCTAGGGTGGAATGAAGACTATAAATCAAGATTACCTGAAGGGAATATCAGAGATAAGGGATTAAGCCAAGTACAGAGATAACAAAATTATCTAAGGAGCTTGGAAAAATTTACCAACTTCCAGGAGCAAATCTCTGAGTGCTATTTTAAAAAGTCACTCTGATGGAAAATTCTCACTTGTAAATTTATGTAATAAGAATTAATAGTTTTCTTAATTTTGTATACAGGGCTCAATGTAGTGACTTTTGGCTGCACTGGCTTGAAGTGTTACAAGAAAAACGAAGAAAGAGAGGTATTCGTCAGATGTGGACAGACTCCATTTGGGTCAGACCTGTGCTCTGGAGGTCACAGGAAACATTTCAAACACCTTTCCTTTCCGCTTCCATCATAGACGGAATTCGAGCGTAGGCAGGTACTTCCTAGGGAAGATTTCGTTTTTCGAATATTTCACTTCTTGAAAAATGGAGCAAATGAGTGGCTGGGTATAGACCCTTGGCACCAAGTGGCTGGGAGTAAATGGAACACCGCAGGGACACAGAACTTTGCCTGCCACTGAGCATATTACTGGAGAAATACAGTAGAGAACCCAGCAGGCTTCTGCAAACAACGCATCCCTTTAAGTTAATTGGTGTTCTATAGAAGCTGAAATGCTCTGCTTATTTACAAAGCTACAGATTTATGTAAAGCAAAACCAATTACACTTAATGCCTAAACTATTCCAGGTGTTCAATGATGATGCTGCTAGGCGCTAGAGAAGAAACTGCTGTGTGAATGCAGCTTGTTCCAAATGGAAGCATGTGTACTTACTGCAATTTAGCTTATCACAAGTATCAACCCCCATGTGAGAATTCTAAGCTCTTTCAGTGTTTGCTTTGGGTCAGCTTCATAATTCTGTAGATCTCCTTTCTTCTCTAAGGACGAGTGAAAGCATAGTGAGCACCTTTTTCTATTACAATGTAGAAATTAAGAAGGAGGTGAAGGCAATTTTTGAGAAGAGAAAAAATCGACAAAACAAGGCAACCCTGTTTCTAAACAGTCGGAGAGATTGTGAGAGCTTCTCACTTGTGCTGAGGTGAGGTGTTTAAAGGTTTCTTGATCTTTTGGGTGTTCATTAAACCCAAATTGCACACTTGGCATTTAACCTTTTGCAGCAAGGGAAGCTTTTAAGGCATACTAAGAGTCGGCCTCACTGTTCTGCCAGAGTATAAATGCTAAACAAAGAAGGATTAGAAAAAGTTGCAAGGGAAGGAATTTATGCTTAGAAAAGATAGTCTTACCACTTGTCCTCCAAACAAGCAAATAAACAAAAAATAGTTTGAGTAAGAGAAACACCTGGCACTTTACAGCTGCTCTTTGGCAGCTAAAAAAAGTGTATCATACCTAATCAAGTTGAATAAATCTTTTATTCTGCAGATCTAAAATATTTTATGTATACACAAGGGGGGCTTAATTACAAATCAGTTGCAATCAGCTCACGTACCCACCTATCCTATCCAGCATTAATTGTCCTGGAAAGCAGTGATTCGAAAGCTTTTGAGAGCCCAAGGATGATTTGGGTGTGCTTGTTAAAACCACCAATACCTGGACCCCACACCAGAAAAGGATCTGAATGAGGGTGGTCTGTGATGGGGGCCAGAAAGATTCACCTGAAACAGGGCGTGCTCAACCAAACTCTGCTACAAAGTTACGGGACGTTAGTTTTGACTTTTTTTTTTTAATGTGTTTCCACATTTCTTTGCTTGTGAAGGAAGAATCTCTTTTGGAAGCTGACTGTCTGCATGTATTTCAATTGGTAACAGTAAAGACTAAAAGATGCCGTTTGGGTTAGGGAATCCCTTTACGCATCACTATTTGGTCTGGTCACTTAGCCTCCTCTCAACACTCTTTTAACATTCCTTGGTTACCTTCGTCCCTTTAATCCCAGTAAGGCCAGCATTTAAATTATTTTACACCTTCTTTCATATGTGGACATTGTCTTTGTTGAAGACCTTGATTTTAGTAAAGTTGCTTTTGAATTCAACGAAAATTTCCTTAATTCTTATCTTGACAGTGTAATATTAAGATCAAATATAGTAAAATCATGTATAAGATTTATTATTTACTCAGACATAGACAGTGTATGGACACAAAGTCTGGCATGTAGCAAGTGCTCAATAAATTTATCGAGATAAGAATATTAACATACGGTTATTTTGTCTTCCAATGACTTACTAAAAACTCTAAAAAAAATCACATATATTGCTTTTAATGGGCAAACTATTGTAAAAAGTTGTAAAATATTATTGTATACCATTGTAAAAAGTTGTAAAATATTATGGTATATAGGAAATTATTATTTTCTGTCATAGAATATTCACCTAAACTTTAAAATTCCTCTATTAATTCTAATGTATAACATATGGATACAGAAGCACACTCCTGTAGTTTACTAGAGGGGTCATGATCGGTCTTCGTAAATAAAGTAGACACATACTGGTCATAAAGCCTCTCCCATATATATTGGCTCCTACACTAAAATGCATAAAGCATTTGACTGAAAAAAACAATGAATACTGTGCTCATAAGACAGGTAGAGTTAAATACAGTTTCATAGGGCTGTCTCCCAAAGATCAATACTTGAAGAAAATTCCTGTATACTGCCATAAAATTTCAGAGACTTTTCTTGGAGGAGAAGTGTTTCTTCAAGATTACTTCCACTGATGTTCTGGGCATTACAATGATTTAGATTACAATATCTAAAAAAAGAAAGAAAGCTTTTCTTAGGACCAGATGTAGATAACTTGATAAATCATTTGCTTTCCTCCTGTGCTTGTCTACATTTTATGATGGACCCATAGATACTGGCACAACAGTGATAATTATTTAAGAGCCCTGCTCACCCGGAACAGTCTTTATAAAAGGACAAAAGGAGTTTTAGTGCAAATTAGGGTGCCTCATAAGGACCTTTAGATGGCACTATTTTTTTTTTTATTGCTGTGCTTTAAGTGAAAGTTTACAATTCAAGTTAGTCTCTCATACAAAAATTTATACATACATTGTTATGTGACCCTTGTTGCTCTCCCTGTACTGTGACAGCACACTCTTCCTTTCCACCCCAGAGTTCCTGTGTCCATTCAACCAGCTCCTGACCCGCTCTGCCTTCTCATCTCACCTCCAGACAGGAGCTGCCCATTTAGTTTCATGTATGTACTTGAGCTAAGAAGCACACTCCTCATAAGTATCATTTTATGCCCCATAGTCCAGTCTAATCTTTGTCTGAAGAGTTGGCCTTGTGAATGGTTTTAGTTTTGGGCTAACAGAGAGTCTGGGGGCAATGTATTCTGGGGTCCCTCCAGTCTCAATCAAACCATTAAGTCTGGTCTTTTTACTAGAATTTAAGTTCTGTACCCTACTTGTCTCCTGCTCTGTCAGGGACTCTGTTGTGTTCCCTGTCAGGGAGGTCATTGGTGGTAGCTGGGCACCATCTAGTTCTTCTGGTCTCATGCTGATAAAGTCTCTAGTTTATGTGGCCCTTTCTATCTCTTGAGCTAATACTTTCCTTGTGTCTATGGTGTTCTACATTCACCTTTACTCCAGGTTGGTTAGGACCAATTGATGCATCTTAGATGGCCACTTGCTAACTTTTAAGACCCCAGATGCCACTCACCAAAGTGGGATGCAGAACGTTTTCTTAATAAACTTTGTGATGCCAGCTGACCTAGATGTCCCCTAAAAGCATGGTCCCCAGACCCCCGCCCCTGCTACTCTGTCCCTCAAAGTGTTTGGTTGTATTCAGGAAACTTCTTAGCTTTGGTTTAGTCCAGTTGTGTTGATTTCCCCTGTATTGTGTGCTGTCCTTCCCTTCATCTAAGATAATTCTTGTCTACTATCTGGTTAGTGAATACCCTTCTCCCTCCCTCCCCACCCTCGTAACCATCAAAGAATGTTTTCTTCTGTGTTTAAACCTTTTCTTGAGTTCTTTTAATAGCGGTCTTACATAATATTTGTCCTTTTGCAACTGACTAAATTCACTCAGCATAATGTAGATGATGCTGTTTTATAACCTGCAGTGAGTCTACTTTCAATGCTGACAAGGAGACTGAAACCCTATCAGTTTTACAGATTTATGAGGGGCCAGGACTCATTAAAGGTTCATCATACCGCACTGAGAATTTGGAAATTTTGTGCTGAGACTATGTGGAAAAAACCACTGTTGAAGAAGGAATCCATGAATATATGTCTAAGAATGTGGCCCAGACCTAAGAAAAATGTTTACCACAGAAATGGCTTCCCTGAGTGTATTCTAAGCACTAGGCACCATACTAGAGCACTGTACTCACCCTAACTTATTTAATTCTCACTACAACTCCAGAAGGATGGAGTCATCCCCATTTCACAGATTGTGAAACTGAAATTCAAGAGATGAAGTAATGTGCTTAGGGTTCATATAAAGAGTCATTGGCAGAACCTGGGTTTGGAATTAGGACGCTCATTCTGAATCTGAGGCTTTTCCCTTTATGGTGTGTTGCCTCTAGAGACTCATTATTATTCGCTGTTGGGTAAGCTCCAGGAGGATAGGAATTTCTGACTGCTTTACTCACTGCTGTAACCCTACTGCCTAGACCAGTGCCTGACATGTAGTGGATGTTCAATAAATTTTGGTTGAATGAAGAAAAATATGGGCTATAAGTTCGCTTTTATCAGATACACATAAGTCTCTGGGGTCAGACATCTATTTTTGATTTGTGAAGTTTCAAAAGCTAATTTTACCTTCTTTTCCTTCTCACTATATTGCTAAAAATAACTGTAAGAGAGAGTGAATACTGCCTAAATAACTGGTCATTTGTCTCTGATTTATGTCCCTTTCAATAATTGTTCCAGGTTATGCACAAAAGATTACAGAGATCTTTGACAAAATGAGTGTGATATCAACTTTATGAGATGCGTTGTATAACACTGGGGGGACAGTGGTGCTAAGTTATAAAAACAAACACCCTCCCACTCCCCACCCCTCCCCAAGAAACACCTGTGATTTCTTTTTATTTTAGCATCTGATGTGGGATAGACTCATTATATTAAGTACTGCAGACATATTTTCCTAATAATTTTCAGCAAGGAAAAGATATTTCATCTGCCTACTTCCTCCCCACTCACCAAAACAGAGAGCCTTGGGTATGATATGCCACCATTACCCTATTTGAGATCTGATTGAGGAGAACTCTAATCCAGACAGGGACAGGAGGCTGTTGGTTTGGCTATGAGTGAGGTGTAAGTCTGGCCTGACATCCATGGATAATTCCTAACTGTTCTCAGATGAGGCTTTGACCCTGACGAGATTAGTTTCATTCTAGGACTTACTGCTAGGATTGCATCTCAATAATATAAGCTTTGCACTGGGGGTGCCCCTCTGGTGCTACCACAGACCTAATGCCAACTGTATATTGGTGGCAATGCTGTTTCATAATTCATCAGGATCTTGGGGAGAAGAATAATCTGGGATTGTCCTGTTCTTGATAAATATGCCATCACTATCTGGCTCTGAGCAGACAAACTTTTGGGTTTGGTGAAAATTGGATTGCAATTTGATGTATATAGAGATCAAATACCATTTGACTCATAAATAATAGGTTTCAATAGTACTGTCCTTGGGACACTGTGTTTTTCCTGTTTCTATGCATACTTATTGTTCATTAGTGTTCGACAATAACAATCAGTATGTAAATAAAACACAACCATGTCTTCCTCATTGTAGACAAGGAGCTTTCTGCTTTAGGTTCTATACTGTTTCCTGCCTAATGGTTGTGGTTTGACCCATCCGATCCCAATGATCAGTAGGTACCCAAGGCAACCTGTGCCTTTGCACTAATGCAATTGGTTCTAGCTACTTAATTTCTGGAGACGGATTTTCCAGATTCTCCTTTCTTGTGATATGTGACACACTTTTCCTGGAGGGTGGCTGAACAACAGGTGGTAGTGAGTATCCATAGTTACTTTAACTGAAGAGACTGGTTTCCTCCAACCCACCAGAGTTAAGGGATTATTAGAGAGTGGTAGAGGGCTCCACTATGGGACTTAGGAAAAACATGGTATAGGACAAGCAAACTTGCGTTTGAAACCTGGTTGTGTGAACTTGGTCAATTCACTTAACTAGCTTTGCACTTTAACTTTCTCATTTATAAAGCAGAGTGATAAGAGCTATGTAATGGAGGTGGTGGGGATTAAATGAGGTTATCTGTAAGTGTCTAGCATGCTGTCTGAGACATAGGGGCGCTCAACACATGGTAGATTAATTTTTTTCCTTTCCTGCTTTGTTTCATCCTCTATCTTTCTTCTTTCCCTTAAAAGCATTCAGGAGAAAAGAAAGTAGACAGGAAATAGGGAAGATTTGGTAGGAATATGGTTTATTTCTAAATAAACCCTACATCATCACTTAGTCTCTTCTCATCCTTGGTTCCTCTAATATCTGATGCTTTGTATATTTTTATCCTTACTCCTTGTCTGCATCCCACTCCACCATCCCTCATTTATTTATAATAACTCACTTGCTTGACAATCACAGAGACAGAATCACACTTAATATTTTAATTTGAGCACTAGATGTCAGGTTGATGTGCACACAGAAGTGTAACTAAGATATGGCATGTAGGGCATGTGGTCTGGGTGCTGCTTGAGAAGGGGTGCTAATGAACAGGTTCTATTGACCATTGCAGTTTCCATCACCAGCTGTGAGAGATCATTCAGCAATTTAAACTAATTGCCACAGGCACAATTTTCTGTAGCTAGGACCCTGTGTAGACATGAACTTTGCTTTGCTCAACTCTTTCTCTAGTGCCTAAACAATGCTCAGCATGTTTGTTGAACGAACGAATGAGGAAATCCATGAGCTAATAGATTCTGGTTCCAGTGGTAGTTCTACCTGAACTCTACCCGTAATCATGACCATCTTGGCCACACCTCCAGCATGAGTCTAGCAGAGGAGTAAAAAGAAAGAAAAAGAGAGCATAAGGCATAGTTGTTATTGTTAGATGCTGTCGAGTCAATTTTTGACGTGTAGGGACCCTCTGTGACAAAGTAGAACTGCCTCATAAGGTTTTCCAGGCTGTAATCTTTATGAGAGGAGATCTCCAGGTCTTTTTTCTGCAGAGCTGTTGGGTAGGTTCCAACCGCCAACCTTTTGGTTAGCAGCCAAGTGCTTAACCTTTGCACCACCAGGACTCCTTAGGCAAAGTATAAGGGAATTATTATTGTTATTGCTAACATTTGTGAGCATTTACTCAGTCTCATGATAACTTTATGAAGCAGTTACTATTTTTTTTTGTTTCCATTTTGGGCGAGGTTAAAAAGCTTGCTCAAGTTTGTGCAGTTGATAAGCTGTGGCGCTGAATTCAACTGGGCTGACTCTGGAGGTCACCTTTTAAACCACTTCAGGAAAGACAAGGATCAAATCTTACAGTGGGAGCAAAAGTAAAGATTGATAGACAGTAGAGCTTATGAGAGTTGTTTGGAGGCAATGGATGGAGGGGAAAGCAGCCCTGCTTTCAGCTTCAGTTTTGATGTCCACTCTGCTTTCTGGGAGGTTGAGGAAGTTCCTTTGGGATCCTTCTGTAAGACTCTCTGCTTCTCTAATTTGGTTTTCAACCTAAGACTGAGACTGGCATGTTAGGGAAGTTATACATTGTGGAGGGTCAATTTGGTTACTGATCCACTTTGAAAGGTAAGAAATTAAAAAACTCAGGACACCGTATAGGCTTTGACTTTGTCATTAATATTCTGTCTTGCATGGCGTTTATTTAGGTTCCTCTCCTTATACAGGACCATAAGCTCCACTAGAGCAGGAGCATAGGTGGCACTAAACATTTATTAACTTGGTGGCTTTGTATCCTTCCAGTCCACTGCTGTACCTATCACAAGATTGATGCTCCGAAAGAGATTTGTTAGATGAATACGAGAATGTTTCAGGCAAGGAAGAAGTGACAATGTATTGAATAACATATGACTAAATAGATAAATAAATGCAGGGAAGTGGAAAAAAATCTGTTTAACTCTCCTACTATGTGGTGGACATTGTGCTTGGCCTTTAATTAAAATTCATGTCACTAAAACCTACAAGAGGGTGGTAATATTGTCTTTATTTTACGTGTTTGGAAATAGAGGCTCAGAGAGGTTAGGCACTTTGCTCAAGGGAACACAGCCATCCAAGAATATGTCAGTAAGAGAGAGATGAGCTGGTGATGGATTGATGGTAGATGATACATGTTAAGCCACTAAATGGTCTCAGGTGACTAAGGGATTTTGCAGTTTATTATTGACCTTGAGGTGGTCACTGTCTACTTAAAGGCCTGAATGGGATTCAAATTTTAAATGTCATTAACTTCCTATCTATTTGTTTAATGATATTTTCTTTTAATGATAATGACTCATTCATTCTTATTATCAGTATGGTTATTTCTGATTCTAAAGTGCTAATAATTTAGTGGAGAAAAAAGTCCTGTTTTAAACTATGTTTTACGACTGAGTAAAGCACTATTTTATTATGAGGATCGACGGAAAAAGTAAAATCTAAATTGCAATTTCTTGCTCTGAATAATCTGTGAAATTTTTCTACTATGCTAATTTGTCCATCCATGGCATACTGGATTCCCATTAGCTTGGTGATGGTTCCCAGACCAATATTTCATGAACTCAGAAGTGGTTCATCTTACTACACACTTACTTACCTTTGTGAAACACTCCAGAATCCCAGGACGTTCAGCAACGTTAATGATGCCAGGAAGAAGAAGAAGCTTTCTAAATTGCCTTTGTTTAATGTGTTTGGAAACCAATTGCCTGTTTGGGACAAATGTAATTGTTATTCAACTGCAGAGATGTAAATTTCTGAGAATATTTTATCATTCCACAATTCATAGAGCTTTATTCACTTCAATTGTATCTATGAAGCAACAAAGCTCATCTGAAACTTCATTGTCGAAATTAATTTAATCCTTTAATTAGCAGTAAAATGATAAGCAAAGCACCCAAATATTATAAATATTTTGAAGGTCAAAAAACTAAATTTGCATAACACGATTTAGGTGTCACAAGAACTGGGTTCTAAAGGTAATCCTGATTATGCTATTAATTTGCAGGAACCACGTTTGTCTCATTCACCCTTATATTTCTAGTACAGGGGACAATGCCTCGCACATAGGGATTGTTCAGTAAATATGTACTGAATGAATGAAAAATGTTTGCTAGATAGTCTGTCTCATATGCTCATTGTAAGGTTAGTGTGATAATACATGTGATTGAAAGATGTAATATTATTTTGATAACTAAGATAAATCTAGTGATACCTTATTATAATATCAAAGACCCTATTGATCAAATTATTTGCAATCTCCAAGTTCCATGTAGATTTTCTTTTGACCTGGTAAGTAATCTAATACCCCAGAATAAGGGATCCTCATTTCCTCAGAATGTCAAGCTGTGTATATATGAAACTATCCAGGATTCAAGGTAATTGCCTTTACTTTGCTCGTAAGTGTGACTTTTGCTTTGAATCGTCGCTATAACTATATATGTGTGTGTGAAAAAGATTTCTATATAAATATATGTATGTGTGTATGCATTTTTTCCTCATTGGGTTTGAGATATTATTATTGAATACATTATATAAAATATAACTTTATAAATATTGTATATACCCATACCCGTTGCCATTGAGTCTATTCCAACTCATAGCTACAATATAGGAAAGAGTAGACCTGCCCATAGTGTTTCCAAAGCTGTACATCTTTACAGAAGCAGACTGCCACATCTTTCTCCCGCAGAGTGGCTGGTGGGTTCAAACTGCTGATCTTTTGGTTAGCAGTTGAGCCCTTAACCTTGTGCCACCAGAGCTCCTTATATTGCATATACAACATTTATTTTCATGTAATATTTTAAAACAACAATGGGATCTAGTATTACCAAATATAGGCAGATAGTAATACAAATATTTAAAAGATTGTTTAAAAGGGAAAATCTATCTTTACAAAGGAAAGTACAATTCAGTGGCAGTTCTGAATGGGTAGAATATTTCCAAAAAATGCTATGTATTATAGGAACAGGAATTGATCATCCTTGAACAGTCAAATGCCAAGGCTTTAATTCCTTGCCTTTTTGTAGGAACAGTTAGTACAATGTGTGGAGAAGAGGGGTGTAGGACCAGAGCAATCAGTCCGTGTGCTAGCAGACTTGATCTTCAGTGCCATCTTGGCACACGGGTTGTGGGTTCCTTCCTGAACTAGAAAATGGTTCTTGGCCTCTTCTTTGACTATGCATACTTTTAAATGGGATTTGAATTAAATGCTCTGCTCAAGGTTGATAGTCAGCAAGTGCATAAGTATGACAGCTGTGATTAATTGTGCCACTTCCTATTTAAAGCTGTTTCTCTTCTGTCATTTAACTTCCCAATGGCCATTATTATGGATCAGCCATGAAAATTAGCTGTGTCCATTATAGTCTTGGGCCCATAAATGAAAGCTGGTACTGAGCTTAAAGCTATTTTGTAAGTTCCACTTTCCCATTCTATTAATTTGTGTTCTATTACTAAAGAAATTTGTGGTTTATTACTATATGGACATGAGGCCTTCGGCTGATATTTGGATAAGTTACATGTCTCACTGAATGTTTCTCTATTATCTGTATATTGAGTATTGTGAAGACTGTTTGGTGTGTGTGTGTATGTGTGTATATAGGAACTAAACATTTGATTGTATTTGAGTGGGGGGAGCTAGGGTGGAGGTCAAGATAAGGTGAGAAATCGCAATTATCTGTAGGAAGAACTAAACCATCCTGTCAAACCTATTTTCTTATTTCTCTAGAATTAATATCCCCACCGTATTTCTGCCCTTTTCATTTCACATCGGCACTTCGCGTGTCATGTGATTAGACCATTTTATCGCTGTGCTTCTCTAGCTGGAGTAAGAGGAGTTTGCATAGACTGCGTGAAGCCTCAGAATTAACATGACATTAATTCTTCTTGGAGCATGAATTTTGGTCCATAGTAAGTAATTGAAAAGACTGTCTTTATATTACAACAAAGTCAGATGAAGGAGAAGAATATAAATTTTATAAGATCTTTGAGGTAGAGCATAACATTTCTAAGAAATTGTGCAAGTACAGCAAATATAAGCCCTTCAGGAAACAGCAGCAGATTCCCATGGGCTTGCTGGTGTACTTGCATCTGTCGTTGGGGGCGCTGTGGCTTGGTGGTTGGCGATGTAGGGTGACAGGAAGATGTCATACCAGAATGGTTAGAGAAAGGTAGTGGCAATTTAGTTATACACAAAACATTTTGGAAGTGGGTTATTTAAAAAATAAAATGAAAGATTGCCATATCACCTATTCAAACTCCTGACAATGCTCCTGTATTCTTTCTTAAATACAGTTTTTTAGGGTACATCTCTCTTCTGAATGCTGATTTTTATTCTAGTGCCATATTTTTGCCTTATTTAACTATAATTTAACATTCTCGGCGTAGCAAATTTACATAGGAGCTCTATGGTAAACCATCACCTGAGTTGATAGCATGGAACAAACACTAGCATCAAGTCTGACAAACAGACTGTTCGTGAGACCTAAAACTTGTTCTATTTATGTAAAGGTTATCTGTGTATTTAAAGAGACAGCTTTGGGTGTAAAAACATATAGAAAGAGCGTGGGTGTTGGAGTCAGATTTTTAAAGTCAAGTCTTGCCGCTATTATTTAACAGTCTTATGGTTGGGCAAATAACTGGACCACTTGAGTCTCACTTTCTCTTTTTTAAGATGATGACAATAATACCTCCCTCACTGAATTGTTATGAGACATAAAAGAGATAATGGATGTTAAGGGCTGAACAGAGAGGAGGCACTCTATAAATGTTAGATTATCACCGTCCCCCTGCCCCTTTAGAGATAGTTCACACACAATCATGTAGCCTGAGCTTGATCTTGGGCCTGTTTCCTGTCAGATATTTCTTCATGTTTCATTTTGTTTTATCATTATCCCAGGACTAGTTGTAAAATGTTCCATTTAACATTGTCAGTTGACTCAGTTCTTAGGTACCATAACTTTATTTTAGTAGCTTATAAACTTTTACTGTCATAATTCACACTTGTACCATTTTTCATCTGACATTCCTAATAGCCATTGAAATCAGGAGCATCCTTGCAAAGGAGACGAAATGAAGGCTTTACATCTAGAAGAGGACTCACTACTCTTCCCCAGATCTCAGCTTGGGTGGACAAGAGGGTTACCAACTTGAGAACAAATATGCTACGTAAGGAGGCTAGTGGGTCACTAAGTGCCATTTGTTCATGCCCGCAGTGAACTCTAGTTACATGCTTTAATAATGTAACTAGCTAATTACTATCAAGATTTAGACCATTGAGGTAATAGGGTACTCACAAAATACTTGACAGTGTTCAGAAGTCCCCGAAGTATCTCTTGCTCAGCTAGATTTAATTGTCCATTGGAAAATCATTTATTAGAAGCTTTTCATGTACCAGGAAATGGGGATTCAAAGTTGCTTAAGAAAGGGAGCCTGTAAGTTAGTAGGGGAGACATGCTCTGGTCTATAGCCCTTACAAATACAAAATAAAATGCTTCTAGTTATCTTAAATTATCATGGCCGTTTTAGAGACAAAAAGGCTATAGAGTCATCTAGTCTATTACTTTTATTTTACAGATTAAAAGAAAATGAAGAATGAAGACTCAGACAATTAAATTGAAACGTTAATCAGTAGAACCCTCATCTTCTTACTCATAAGACAAATGCTCTACAATAGCCCCCCTGCCCGCTGATATTAAAGGAACTATCATAGGGTTGTTATGAGTCAGAATCAACTCGATGGCAACAGGTTTGCTTTAGTTTTTTGGTATCACATTTGTGACTTCTGAGTATCTTCTCAACAGTTTAATAATGCGTCTGGATAGCAGTCTTCAAAATAGCCTACTCCAGATTCCCCCTAAAATACCTAGCATAACATCTCCACCTGAATCCTGGGATTGACAATTAATTTATCGTGAGACTCTTGGAGTAATCTGCACTAAATTAAAGGCTTTTGACACTGGATTGAGAAACATATATAGAGACCCACACATCCTATGCTACTATGAACAGCACAAAGTTACTAATAGGAGGAGGATTATGCTTTATCCCTCTCCCTTTCTATTCTCCCACCACAAAAACCAAGGTCACTTCCAGCCAGAATTCTGATAGCTGTTGGCCTAATGCATAGTTACTGTTCTTTAGGAGGAGAAGGAGCCCACCACACACCTGTCTACATCACTACCCAGCACCAAGTACCTATGCTTCTAAACTATATCAGGGAGTCCAACTCCCATAAAACTACCGCACAAGAAGAAATGGAAACAGGATAGAGGCAGGGTACACTGCATTCCAGGAAGTGTAGTCCCCAAAAGTAAGGTATTGTAAGTTAAGGGTGACCTCTGGGGAGCCTCTGATCGCCATACATATTTGACACTGCAGTCTGTGATCATTCTATCTGATCAGAGTATTGGAGAACCTGACGGTAGGTGTCAATAATGTTCTCACTCAACCTGGCAGTCAGCTTCCTGCAGTAACTTGGGTTTTAATAGGGCACTTAAGCTGTAGACTTGAGCTCCAAAATGGAAAGTCACCAGCCATTATAGTGTATCCATATACTCTCTCAGTTGGTGAACACCGCCTCACAGTAAATCTTTTCATTTGAGGATGAGTGCATAGAAGAAAAGGACAGTATGGGAAAGGAAAAGTGATCATCATACATACATAAATATTGCTTACAAGAAACACCCCTAAAACAAAATGACGAAGGCTA